CCCCTCCCCCCGCCCTCCACCTTTCCCTTCCCCCACCTTCGCCACGAGCGCCTCCTCCCCGGCTTCCCTCCCTTCCAAGCTCCTCACCGCCCCCGGGCGGGCGAGCGGCCAGGCTGGCCTAGGCCAAAGCTCCTCACCTGGCGGTGGCGGTGTAACTCCCGGCTAGCTCGCCTCCTCAGGCGGCGGCGGAGGCGTCGAAAAAGGAAGAGGCGACGGCACAGTAAGCTCCGGACCCCGTTGACGGGACCAGGGGCGGGGGTGGGGGTGGGGGGCGGGCCGGACCGGGGAGGGCGGGCGGAGCAGACACTGCGGTACAGACGGGGGCAGCGGCGGCGGCGGCGGCTGCACCGGCGGCGGCGGCACCACACAAACAAGGACGCTGATTGGGCAGCTGCCAAGCGCCTCGGCTCCGCCTTACTCACACGCCACGACGCCCATTGGACGACCTGAGCCGGCCACCCCGCCCTCCTCTTCATGGACCTACCAATAAAAAATAGAATGCTGAGGCTTCTCCCCACCCTTAAACAGTGAGTGGTAGGAGAAGTGACAATTGGCGTATTAAAGACCCAATCCTAAATGGAGGAGGGGGATGGTCTAGCGGGGGCGCGCTAATGGGTACCTCAGCCAGTCCCAGACACATCCGGGTCTTCGACAACCCATTAAGTGTCGGGGGTCAAAAAATCGCTTCAAGCTGCAACTTTACCTTAGAGACGTTTTAGTCCCCAGGCAGCCGCCGTACCCTAGGCTCCCTAAGCCGGGATTCCCCTTTGGCCAGTTTTCATTCTTTCAGTTCTAAAGATGGAGCCTGTGGAACGGCTGTGTGCTTTGCGGTGGGCGGTGTTTCATCGCGACAGGATCCAGGAATTTCACGATAGAAGTAGTTTGGACTTAGGCGCTTAGGCCTTGCTCTCTGTTTGGGGCGTGGCCTGTCTTCGTCTTCGCAAGGCCTTAGACTTCCTGGTGTCTAACCACCTCTGCATAGTCCTATGAGAGCCGAAAAAAAGGCAGCTAGCGAAATTTAATGACAATTTACGGTGTGCAGGGCCAACGTAGCGCCTTATCTCGGATCGCTTGGTCTGGCTAGGTTCACAGCCTATCTTGTGACACCTGATCTACTCTAGGCCCAGCTTCCACTAGCCTCTCTGCTTCCTCACAGCGCCAAGCCCTTCCTAAACTGATGTCTGCTTGTCACAAGGACTATTCTTGAGCACCTTAAGGACAGGAGCCAAGTATCACAGAATCATGTTGAGGGTATGTTCAGTATTTGAAAACAACATTTTGGGGAAGAAACTGTGTGCCCAGACAATATGGATTATTTTATTTATTCCTAAGTTTGTGAGGCAGGTACTGTTTCTTCTGTTACAAATGAGGAAAACAAGATACAGAGCAAATGACTTTTTCAAAGTAACACACGTTGAGTAACAAAGCTGATATTTGTACCCCAGTATAATAGAAGTGGGGCTCAGGCTGGGCATGATGATGCATGCCTGTGATCTCAACACTCTTGGAGGCTGAGGCAGGAGGGTCACTGTGAGTTCAAAGTCAGCCTAACTACATAGTGAGACCCTGTCTCAGGAAAAAAAGGAGAGGGATATAACTCCACGGCATAAGGGCCTGCCTGGCAGGCACAATATTCCAGTTTGATCCCTGGTACCACAAAAAAGAAAAACCCTCAGAGTTTAATTTGTTTGCCAAGATCAGACAGCTAGTAATCAAGCAGTGATTTGAACCTAGAAATACATAACTGGTTTCAGAAGCACTAGAACAGGGGCTGGGGATGAGTTCAATCCCTGGTTCCCCCCCCCAAAAAAAAAAAAGGTAAGAAGCATTAGAACATACAATATTTTCAAATGATTTAGAATTCATGCTGTGTGGTAATAGAAGACATGACCACACACACACACACACACACATACACACACACACAAATTAGGTAAATGGTTTCAGTCTCCACCACAACCCTCCAACCAAAACAAAAAAGGTAATAAAATAAAAAATGAAAAAGATATGAGTATGCCTTAAACACACACACACACACACACACACACACACACACATCCATCATACCGACTCACAAAGACATGTCCTAATTCTTACTTTAAATGGATGAAAGAAACCTAATCTTGGGCTCGAATATAGGGGCCAGGGAGATAGCTCAGTAGTTTAAGTGCTTGCCTGCCAAGCACAAGGGCCTATTCAATCTCTGGTTCCACAAAAAACAAACAAACAAAAAAACAAATATATAAACTATAAACCCCTGCAACTATAAACCCAGGCTGGGCAATTAAGTGACTGACTTAGATTCCTCACAAAATAAAAATTAAAAGGAGGGGGCGTGTAGTGAATGCAAAGCCCCTGGGTTCAACCCCAACCTCAATAATAAATGATTTTTATGATAGTATATGTAAAGAATGCAGTCTTTGGAATTAAATGCTAGAGTTCGATCTTGGCCTTCTTTGTTTTGTGTTAATGGGCATCAGACCCAAGGTCTCTCTACAACTGAGCTACACACTCAGCCCTTTCTATTGTTTTCTTTTTTCTTTTTTTTTTTTTTTTGCGGAACCGGGGATTGAACTCAGATCCTTGAGTTTGCTAGTCAAGCGCTTATCCTACTGAGCCATCTCCCTG